AAATGTACATGTCTCTAATTGTAGTGATTTGGGGCATTTTTTCACGACTATAGAGACTTTGAATTTCTTCCCTTAAAAACTGTCTGTCAAATGGTACAAACTTGTAACTCAATTCATATCCTAGTGACCATCATCTCTTCTAATCCATGATTTTCTCCTTCCTTGCTCAATTGCCTGGTTCACAGTCCTCTTCTTCTCTCTAACTCCTGCCCTCATACTAACGGAGGGTGTTCAACACGCGCATTGATAATCCATAACTTTTCACTTCCTAATCTATTCAGTTCCCACCAGCTACTCCTCCATTCCAGCTCAGGACATAGACCATCACACCATTGATCTTGCCATCATCAATCTTTTATCATTCCACAACTCTGAGTCATCTTCATCGCATCATGACTCCAATCCTCCCATCCCTCAGGTCTTTTCCCATGACCTCTAGACTGGTCACACTCTCCTTCCCCTAGACCATTGGTGAATTAGTCCAACTCCGTCCTGCATATCTAAATTCCCTGCCCTTTTGTCCTATTGTCAATCAAGCCTTGCCAAGCCCCAGCCTCACTACCTACCTCATTCACTCCTATTCTTAAATGCTGCTAAATCAATGTGGACAAGATCATGGAACTGTACCTACAAGCTCCACTACAAATTTGTTATATAATTTCAATTGAGTACTCCCCGCAGCAGGGCAATTCTTTTACCATATTCAACAGAGGGTCTATTCCAAATATTTTCATCCCTCTACATGCCTCTCATGGCATTCCCCTTCCCTCCCTCTCTCAGCTAAGGACCTTTCCTCATATTTAGCCAAAAAATGGGGGCCATTTGATGAGAACTCCCTCCTCCACCTTTCTCATGTGAGACATCTCCCCCCCATCTCTACCTTTACCCCTTACATAAAGAGGAGGCCCTGCTTGCCAAAGCAAACTCCTCTACATAAATCCTTAAGCTCATCCCATCCTGTCTTCTCCAACTGATTGCTACCATAATAATCCCTACTCTCTCCCTCTCTAATCTTCAATGTCTCCTTCTCAGCTGCCCATATACATGCCCATGTCTTCTCCCCTTTCCTTAAAAACCCCCATTTGACCCAACCAGCCCCACTAGCTATTGGCCTATAGCTCTCCTCCCCTTCTTGGGTAACCTTCATTAGAAAGCTCTCTGCCTCTTCTTGACACTTGCCTCCTACCTCCTACTACTTACTTTACTTCTCTCCAATTCAAAACTCTCTGAAATCTGACTTCATCATTCAACTGAAACTGCTCTCTTCAAAGTCACCAATGATCTCTAATTATCAAATCTAATGGCCCTTTCCCAATGCCCATGCTTCCCGACCTCTCTGTAACCTCTGACGCTGCCGGCCAAGCCAACCTCTTCTAGATTCTTGCTGCTATTGTCTCTTCATTCTCCTACCTGTTTCACCACTCCTTTCACTCAAGTCACACCCACTGACTGTGGGAGTCCCCCAAGGCTCTGCCTGGCACCCTCTTTTCTTCTTTCCCCCTAGACTATCTCACCTGAGCATCTCCTCAACTCCCAGGCATCCAACTGACATTTCTATGCAGACCACTGCCAGACCTTGAAATCCAGCACTAGCCTCTGGGGGCAGCGTAAAATCTAGTGAATCATAAAGGCAGAAAACCTGGACATCAGTCCCTGCTCCAATCTTGGCCAGTCAGATCTGATAACAGCTAAGTAACTACACTTGTTTTTTATTTTGTAAAAATCTATTAAGAGGATAGTGACTAGGATGATGAGATTAAAGAGCACGCCAGAGGAGGTTCCTCTGAAGCAACTAGGGATGTTTAGCCTGGAAGAGGGAAGATTCAGAGGGGGAGGTGACAATACTCCATCAAGGCAATGGAATTATTCTTCTTGGCCGCAGGGGAGGGGAACTAGAAATAATGATGAAAGTTATAAAGAAGCTAATTTAGGCCTGATATAAGGAAAAACTCCTAGGGTAGAGTGAGCTACCTGGGAAGCCTCTCTTTGCTACAGGTCTAGCAAATGACTGATAATTCCTTGCGGACAACACTGTAGAGGGAATTCTTGATCAGGCATGGATTGATATAAGCAACTTCTAAGGTCCTGTCCTGAAGTTCTGTAATCTATAAAATGATGAAGGTAATCCTTGCCCATCAGGCTTGTTATAAGAGCAGCACTTTGTAAACCACAACACTCTATATGAAAATGTGAGCTTTTACTGTAATCATTGCTCTCAGTATCACTCCATTCCTCTGATCTTTGATGGAAATTTGAAACAAATTGCCTGGAGAAAAGTCACTATTCTTCTCTATTTGGGGCTCCATCACTGTACAGAAAATTGAAAGTGACTTTCTTGCAGCTGAACAAAAACACTAGGCTGTCAGCGTATCTTCTCGAGGCTCCATGAAAGCATCCGAGGTCCAAGCCCAACAGGAGCCAGGACGAGAGGGACAGCACGCACCTCATCTCCTTCCCAAGTGATCTTCTCCCCCTCAACTGGAGAGTCCTATATTTTGAAAACTTCTTATTCCATGTAGTTGGAGATGATGAGTAAGAGAGGTAGCGACATCAACTAAAGATGCTCTTGGGCTTTTTTAAATTCATGTTACTGCCTGGGGGATTGTGGGCAATGGTTACGTCTGGGGGTTTGGTCTGACTACAGTTTTGTCATTGTTGTTGTTGACTTAATTTCAGTCGCATCTCCTTGTGACCCCATGTGGGGTCTTCTTGGCAAAGATACTGGAGTGGTTTGCCATTTCCTTCTCCAGTTCATTTTATAGATGAGGAAACTGAGGCAAACAGGATTAAGTGACTTGCCCAGGGTCATCCAGTTAGGAAGTGTCTGAGGTTGGATTTGACTTTAATTCTTCTGGGTCCAGCAGTGTACTGCATTATCCTTCCTTTTTTTTTACACACACACACACACACACAGAGCAATTTCTCCAAGTCCCTAACATGACTCATGTGCATGAGATCAAGTCATCAGCCTACATCTCTCCCCTTTACGGAGCTACCAATTAGTGACAGAAAAAGCATGACCAGAAACGCTGTCATTAAAAAGAGAAAGAGAGAGAGAATAAAATCACAGAGCTCCATCTGGAAGGTTTCAGACTCACCTTGAACAAGGCACAAAGGGAAAATGACAAACCATACAAACAGGTGTCCCTTTGAATGCTTCGGTACGATTTGTGTGAGCACAGGAAATTGGTCTCCAGGGGCTGCAGACGGCCAGCCTTTCAGATGCATTTGCAAACATCTGTTGTGCAAACTAGGCCTCTAAACAAGGTCCTATTTTGAACGAGGGCCTTGTCGATTTTCCCATAATGTTTAAAGTTGGACGCATCCTCTGACAGCCCCGCTGCACGCATTTTTCTCACATCTGGTTCATGTTTGCTCTTTTTCAGGTTCCAAAAACAACTGTCTCCAATGGATCAGGAAAGCAGGGGCCATATTCACTTCTTGAAAAAGCAAAGCCTGTTGGGTGATTTCTCTGCTCTGATCTGTAAGGTTAAGTTGAGCCATTTCCTTCCTTAAAGAACCCCTTCGTCTTCAAAAGAATTTGGAGAATCCTAGCTCTGGGCAGCTAGGTGGTGCAGTGGGTGGAGCACTGGGCTTAGAGTCAGGAAGACTTTCTGAGTTCAAATCTGGCCTCAGACAGAGGTCACACTTCCTAGCTGTGTGACCCTGGGCAAGTCACTTCACCCTGTTTGCCTCAGTTTCCTCATCCGTAAAATAAGCTGGAGAAGGAAATGGAAAATCTCTCCAATATCTTTGCCAAGGAAACCCCAAATGGGGTCGTGAAGAGTCAGTCACACAGGACCAAAAAATGACAGAACAAGAAGAGAATTTCAAGAATGAATTACAAGTAGGTACCTCCTGCCTCTTTTTTCTAGGGGAAAGTTCTTCTTAACCAGGTACTTACATATAAAAAATTCTATCCAAGAATGCCTCAAAGAGCTTACCTTGTACTTGTGGGAAAAAACAAGGATAAATAAGATAAACAAAATTAAACAAAATAATTTCTGAGGGAAGGAACACTACAGCTGGATTGGGTTTTATTTAAGAAGGAGCACCTGAGGCTGGGCCTTCAAAGAAACCAAGGATACCCTGAAGAAGGAATGCCATTTTCTTGGGTGTACCAATCAAGACTACATCTGGTGCCATTTCTAAATCGTGCTAGAGGAGCAGGGGAAGAGAATAAGCATTTATATAGCACCTACTGTGTGCCAGGCACTGTGCGCAGCACTTTATACATATTATCTCATTTGAGCAGTAGAGGAGCTGCTTCTCTACCATCCCTTCCACTTAGAATGTTGTATTCCAAGATTCTCCTTCTTCATGATAGACGCGGCATAATCTTATCCTGACAGGGACTTCTTGGTACTTGAATTCTTGGATTGTCGCTTACAGGATTTTTTTCCCTTTAACTTGGAAACCATAAATTTGGAAACAAGATTCCTAGATATTTTCAATTTGGAGTTTCTTTCATGAAATGATCGGCACTTTCCCCCCCTATTTTTACTTTGCTCTCTGCTTCAAATAGTTCAGAACAGTTTTCTTCCAAGATTTCTAAAAAATTTTACATGTAGGTTTTTAGCATTGTTAAAGTTTTCAAAGAGTCTAATAATTCTTAAAGTCTCTTTAACCTGTTTACCAATAAGGTTTTTTTTAATAGTAGATATATTATACTTTCAATCTTCTGACTTTATTCTAATATTTCTTGTTATCTCAGGGAGTTACTGCTGAGATGTTTGCTCCATGTTATTTTTCAGGGTGTCTATCACTTATGTAGAGTTTTCTGCCTTATGTTCTAAACTATTTATTCTCGTTCCATTTTTTTTCCCTTCAGACTTCTTATTTCACTTATGATTTTACTTTTCATCTCTAACTGCTGTGTCTCCAGACCAAGCATTCCATGAGGGCTCCTCCCTTGCATGTCCTCATTCAATGCACCGCCATCTTGAGACCCAAGCAACAAAAAGAGAAATGTGAGATGACTCAACAGCAGCGTTGCTTACCTGCCCCTTTCGACCGCTAAGGCGTCAAGCTCATCGAAGAAAAGAATTGACGGGGCCACTGCTCGTGCTTTCCTGAAGATCTGGAACAGATATTCCAATGAACTGAAACATCAAGCTGCAACGGTAGATGTTCCACCGCAGTCACATCCCTCCACCCATCACCCTGAGAATCTCACACACACACACACACACACACACACACACACACACACTCACAGCCTAGCACATAATAGGAAATTAATAAATGCTTGTTGGAGCTCGCCTTTAGCATGAGAATCAGAGTGCTAAGCAGTCTCTGACTGTAGTCAGAAAGCCAATCATAGTATTTATGCCATTGTTGGCACAGGCTCATAGATTTTGAGCTGGAATTTCATGGGCCATCCAGCCCTCACTTTACAAAGAAGGAAACTCGGTCCCAGGAAAGAAAAAATGATTTGCCCAAAATTACCGAGATAGTGTCAGAGTTGTAATTTGAACCCGGGGCCTTTCATTCTTCTTTCCACTGTACCATGATTGCTCCATGGTGTGATCTTAATATTTAAAGCCTAGGCAGATCCTTGAGCTCAGAGATTCATTCTCAATTCAATTCTATAAACATGAGTAAATCTCAACTACGTACAAGGCAATGGGACTATGTAGACAGGACCCTCAAGTTTACACTCTAATGAATGTTAGAACTTCTTGAAATTAATGCAAACGGTGACCCGTCCATGCCTGCTTCTTGACCATATCTTCCCTGAATTCTCCATAATGCTCTATCCCATGGGCATCAGGCTTTCCTCTAGGATTTTAAACATTTTGTAGCTACCAAAGTGGCCTACTTGTCTTCTCTCATTCTGACTATTTGCAAAAAAAGGCAAAAATCTCCTCATTCAGGATGCTTGCAAAAATGGAACGAGACTGAGTTCCATCAAATTGAGGCATCCATAAACCCATGTAATACAAAAATATGCACCACACACACACACACACACACACACACACACACACACACACACACACAACTCGATGGTCAGAACACCAAAAATGCACACAGCTTCTGAGTCCTACAATATAGCAGTGGTAAGAAACACATTCATGGTCAATGGCATGAGAAATGGACAGGAAGTCAAGTAATGGAAGGCCATCCACCAAGGAAAGAGGCCCAAAGGGAGGGGACTGAGGTCCAAACAAAGGTAAAACCACATCTGCTTAGGGGATACACAAGATACCACGTGTGGGCACAGAGAGTGAGCCCACTGAATGTCAAAGAAAAAAGGATGGAGAGTAAAGTGAACTGGTGGCCAGAGCAAATAAATAGAGGAAACTAGGTGACCCAGGGGGATAGCATGTTAGGCTTGGAGTCAGGAAGACCAGAGTTCAAATTCAGCCTCAGATACATACTAGCTGTGTAACCCTGGGCAAGTCACATAACCTCTGTCTGCATCAGTTTCCCCAACTGTAAAATGGGGATAGTAATAGCTCATACTTCCCAGGGTTGTTGTAAGGATTAAATGAAATGATGTAAGGATTAAGTGAAATAGCAAAGTGTTTAACACAGTGCCTGGAGCTTAGTAAGGACTTTATGAATCCTTCTTTCCTTCCTTCCTTCCTTTTTTCTTTCCTTTTCTTCCTTCTCTCCCTCCCTCTTTCCTTTCTTTGTTCCTTTCCTCCTTCCTTCTATTCCTCTTTCCTTCTATCTTTCCTCTCTCCCTTCCTCCTTCCTTTATTCTCCCCCTCTCCTCCCTCTCTTCTTTCCCATAGGCATGAAATCACAAGTCCAGAAAGACATATAGACAAACAGATATTGGTACCATTTACCTCTCTGACTGCACGTTCTGACTGACCAACATATTTATCCATTAATTCAGGTCCCTGCAAGAAAAGAAGCATCAACTGTTAGAATCTATAAGTCCAAACACTTCCTTCCTGTGAGACGGAGGGAAATTGTTGGTGTTCCGTTTCCACTGGATAATGCAGATGCCTTCGAGAGTGATGACGCTGTACATACCATGGACTACTACATTTCTCAGTAGCTTACCACTGTGAAGCTGGTGCCCATTAAATAAACACACATATACACACACACACTCACATGGTATGGTCAATAGATTAAAGACTGGAAACATCTCTTTGGTATCTGAACCCAAATGCAAAACACTCTGAAAACCACAACTCCAAAAATATTGGTTCTTATGGCATCACTCTGCATGAGGTAAAAAACACATTTGATAAGCATCCCCTGGTCTTTTCTTCCCAACCTCAACGAAAAGAGAAATACTTCATTCATCTGAAGTTTACTTAATTGGAAACATCAACTTTCTAAAATATGTCAGGATCCAGGAAGGAAACCACAGAGGTCTCTCAGAAGCCAAAATAGATGTTACAACATGGGTGTACTGAGAAGCCCGTCCCCTTTAGTACCAGGAAAGCCCCTCAGGCCCTCACTCAAGAGGAAAGTTACACTCACTGGACACAGAGTTCTCATAAACTATGGTACCCCTTAGGGAACTGTTCTTTTCATACAGAGCAGTTTCATGTCAGAAGGGGCAAGAAAAGAACCTTTGTAGAAAGAAAAAGAATCACATTAAGTGGCAAAGGATGTAAGATATTGACTCTGTCCAGTGACCACGTTGATGCCTAAAAGAAGTAGGAAAAGAACTTTGCTTTAACAAAAACTGCTAATGTGTGAATGAAGCAAAACAGCTTTCAGGAGGATTTGGGCAGTTTGGGACAGAAACGGATGATGGAATAAATGCAAAAACTTAAGGGAATAAGCATTTAAGCACCTACTGTGTGCCATGCACTGTGCTAAGAGCTTTACAAATATTATCTCATTTGTTTTCACCTTGTGAAAGAGGTAGGGTGCTGTATCATGTGTATAAAGGAGTCTGATGGCTCAAGAGGCAGGGAAAAAAAACCTTTTATTTACTAAAAACTGGAAATACATGAATATATAGAAACAGTTTCAAGGACATGAAATGAGATGGTGTACTGTGCTGAGCACTTAGAGGCCCAGGGCCTTGTGGTCCCTTAGTTCATTTGATTATAACAGCTTTAAGATATAAGGTAAAAAAAAAATGAGAAACACAATTATTTGGACTCCAGAGCATGATTTTTAAGAGACTGTTGATATAAGAGAAATGTGGTTGCGGCAGTGAAAAATGACTTAATGAGCTCCAGGAAGCTCTGATTTTCACCACTAAAACACACAGGTAGTTGGGGCAGACAAATGAAGGTTAAGGAAAAAGCAGGGGGTCGAAATCAGCTTTATCAGGGCTGGAGCAGTCAGCTAACAGAAGGCTCCAGCTATATAATTCCTGACATAACTGCACAGGACTGAGCCTGACATTCCCGATATTGCTTGGGGCTTAAGAGAGGTGAGCATTCTTAGAAGTGACAGATACTCTCTGCTGTCCATTCTGGTTTGAGACAAAAGCAGAAAGACAGAGGACAGGCTGTACAGCTGCTGTTTAGGAAGAGATACTGAGATTTAATGGGATGATTCCCAAGCCTGGTAACTGACGAGCTTGCAAGGCAACCTGAGCTGTGGTGCAGGGAGCTCTATTTGCTGTAATCGAATTGGACAGTGCAGCATCCTGGTCGCTGAATACCAGGCTGAGCTAGGTTTACTGCCCAGAGAAAGCCAGTTGATGAGCCCTGCAGCCATTTGGCTGCTCTGAAAATTAAGAAGTAACACTTCCTCAACACCCTCTTAAAGGCAACTGTAATTTGAGTGAATTTACAAGGGTTACAGCAAGTCAGGAATAGAGCTGGAGATCAGTGAGGATTAACAATTAGCAGAAAAGTAGCTTTGTGTGGTATGGATGTTCCTGAATAAACTCATGATGTCAAAGCCTGTAGTCCAGAGCTGCAAGTTACCTCAAGCCCGTGAGTTTTCCTTCCTCATGTGCTTTCTTGTCAGTTCCCTTAAAAATGTGCTGACCCTCCCTATGGATACCGAGCACCCTGGTGGAAAAATGACACAAGCTTTTGCGTGGATCATAATATATTTATTATTACTGCATTTGTTCTCATATATTAATACATATGATGCTATTATTAGCTCCTTTCCTTTACATAATCATGGTTAAGATACAAGTGTTACCATGCCTAATTTGCGCCAATGGAAATGAATCTGAAGGGGCTCAAGAGCTAAAGTCCCAAGTAGGGAAGAGTATATTCTTCCAATAGGGTTACTTCTAGCATCCTGAGAGAATACAAGTTTAACATGGTACTGGTCCTGCTTTGGAAACTAGACTTTGCAGCAGGCTGGAATAAGAGAACTAACCTGGAGAACGGATAGGTGTCTCCATGCCCATATGAAATACACACGGCCCCACAACTCGTCACATGCTTTCCACTCACCCACCCAGTTGTCAAATGAGGCTATGTTTTCTGTGAAAAAGAGGGAGATGATGCTAGAAAGAGGTCATGAACAATAACCAGGAAGTAATACAAGGTGATGGAGAGGGAGAGAGAAAAGGCAGAGAAATCAGACTTTAACATTGCCGTGGACTCCCGGCCACTCCCTCCCGAGCTACAGGGCACAGCTGATCGCATGGCTTCTGATACCGCACCACTTTGCTCCCCCATAAATTCCGCATCAAGCCGTCCAAGATGCTGGAGGCCCTCCTTTAGGTCCTAAGAACTAGATCCAATCCCGGCTCCAGCACCTCTAGCTATGAGACCCAGGCCAAGTCATCTCAGGTATCTGGGCCTCGGATTTCTCCTCTGCAAAGTAAGTTGGATTGGATGACCTCTAAGCCCCTTCCTGTCTACGATTCTATGAACACCCCATAGGTGACAGGGCAGCACGCAAGCCATCTACATCTTACATCACACGCTCCTTTCAGCACTGGATCAGAAGCTCTTTGAGGGAAGGGACTGTCATTTGTGTCTTTTTGTATCCCCACCACTTAGCACAGTGCCAGGCACACAGTAGGACCTTAATCAAAGTTTAATGAATCATATATTTCTTAAATATCAGAGGGTCACTGCATGCTAGAGATATAAAAGGTTCAGAGGTCACTTGGTCCCACCTAAATGAGAACTTCAACTCAGTGATCTCTAAAGCTTCCCCCAGCTCCAAAATCTGAGTTTCTATAAGATTTCAGACTGTTGGATAAGTGCATCCACACAGACTTTCCCAGCTATTCATCTGCTCTTGGGAAAAGATAGGCCTTTCACTGCTCCGTGGGCCTCAGTAAGAAGCAAGGTGGTATAACCGATAAACACATTAGTTTTGGAGTCAGGAAGACCAGAATTTGAGCCCTGCCGAGACACTTACTCACTCTGTGACCGTAGATAAATCATTTATCTCTCTGACTCAGTTTCTTCATCGAGGGATATTAAGCATATTATTTATAGGGTTACTGTGAGGATTCAATGAGGTAATCTATGTTAGTCTGACCTATTATTCTGAATTATTATCAGTACCACCGCCCCACGCCCCAGCTGCATCAGCTGTTGGAAGACAATGATGATAAAGGAAAGGGCCACCTAAAACCTGGTGAATATGATAGAGAATAGGATGGAGGGGGTGGAAAACAGAGAATGACCTAAAAGGAGAATCACAGATGGGATCACAGAGCCAGAAGGTACCTTAGAGGGACAGGACATAGAGCCTGACCTCAACAACAATTGCTCAAGACCACCCAGGAAGCAAGTAGGTGAGCTGGATTTGAACACAGGTCTTCTCAATCCAAATCCAGTAGCCTTTCTAGCATACAGAGTTACTGAGCAGTCTGGACTACATGTTTCAAATGCCTGTCAATATATAAAAGACTTCTATCTGAAAAGGAGACGATGCTTCTCCTACCCCACCAAGCATGGAGGAAAAACTGCTTCCAAAGCAGCTTCAGCCCCCATGATAAAGTTCTGAAAGACATCTAGCAGTCTTGATAGGCCCCACTGGTCCTGAGCACACCAAGCACTCCACAGCAGCAGGGGCCGTACAAAGCGCATTTACTCTTCCTCCATCAATAACAGAACCTGCAGTGTCATATCCACTTAAATTAGAGGGCACCCTGTATGATTATCATTTTTAAAACAATCAATAAGCATTTATTAAATGCCTACTAATGCGCTGGGCACTGGGGTTACAGAGACCAATGAAACAATCCCTGCCCTCATGCAGCTTCCATTCTTTCAGATCCAAAGTTATAAAAACTCTGCATCTCCCAAAGTGCCACCAGGGAGGAGAATTTCTCAAAATCAAACCAAAGTTTAGAGAGGGTCAATTACTTGCCCAAGGACACACAGGTAGTGGGGCAGGAGAGCTGGGGTGGCATTCAATTTCCAAACTGAGCGCCATCTTCCCTCTACTCTGATGCCTCCCAATGCAGGCTGTCTGCTACCTTACAAATGCTGACAAATGTTATCTCCATATCTGGGCAGGCAGGCGAGATGTAGGCAGAAACTGAAAATAAGAATGAAACTTTCCCTCATAAGCTCCCAACAAAGTTCCCTTAATCTCTCTTCATGGTCATAATGTGATAATGCTAGCAATTGAGGCAGGCCAAGAAAATCTCTCTTAGATACTCTCTATTTGTCTTAGATATAAATTTCAAATTCCCTCATCGTTGGAGCCCTCTGGACTGACCCATACTAGACAGTGTAAAAAGCTAAGAACCACAAAAAGTGTTTTGGTTTGTTTTTTGTTTTTTAAACTATAATAGAGAGAAGGGAGGGTAAAAGAAGAGACAAGATCTCTGCTTAGGGTAGATGGAACAATGATACTAAGAGAGAGAAAGTAAACTGTTCACTTCTTATTTTCTTATCTTTCTGCTATGAATGAATGATCTTTGGAATGGAAGTCACAAAATGAAAGCGGCTCAAAAGGGTGTTGACTGATATTAAAGATAAGGAAGGAG